TTTGCATTTTTGCCAATCCTATGCCAATACACAAGTCTAGACCTCTTTATAACCGTTGGTGTTCTTTAATTTAATCAACCATTCCCTTAGGAATTTTCAACATAAATCATGCTATTTTTCTTCAAAACTCATCACCTTCATACAATTTATTACAACACATTTTATTTAAAATAAAATGTACAAAATATATCCCTAAATACCCTATAGGTCGAATCCTACAAGGGGAATTTCCAAAGATCCTTCTCTTTTACAATACATTTTCGTTACTTCATTACAACTTGCAAACACCTAGGAATGCTTCCACTAAATTCCTATTTTGAGTTTAGACACCAAGTCCTTTTTACTTAGGCATTCTTACTATCTCATCCATTTTCACTTATTTCCAACACACTATACCTTCACAATACATAATATAATTTTTTTCACAATAACTCCTACTCACTCCATGATGGCCGAAACCTAGGAGGAAGATGCAATAGGGCTTTTAAATTTTTATATCACATGTGGATACTTACTCAACACTATAACTTCCTAAACAACAATAATCCATCATAAATTTCACATTCTAACATCAATTATTTCCCAACAAAATATGCTCATCATTAACAAGACTCAAATCACCAAAAATATAACCATAGGGTTAGAGGTTTCTTACCTATAGTTGCCAACCCAAGCTCCAAGGAACAAAACCCAAGCTTTTCTCACTCAAAAACCCCACTTTTCCACAATGATGAATAGTGTCACGAATTGGGGGTGAGGAATATTTCTCTCTACAAGCAAAACCAGCCTAAACAAAGCGGTGGAATGGATTCCTTGGTTGATTTCCTATGAATTTCGTGTATGGACTTAAGGATTTGGTTGAGTATGGAGGGAGAAATCAAAGGAGAAAGAAAACTTGAAAACCTAGCCTTCCATGGAGGAGTGACTCGGCCTTGAGGAGAGAGAGGGAGGGTGAGCTGATGTGAATAGTAACTTTTGGAAGGAACTTAAGTTATAAGCACATGTGGCTTTCTCAATCGGATGTTTTTCTATCGCGTATTTTAACTTAACGGACCCGGAACTAACTTATATCTACGGAGATATTTTTATTTTTCTAAAATCATTTACATTAATTTTAATTTGTTACTAAACAATATTCATAATTCACAGTATGGTTTTTGCACCGTTTTAACGAAATGCACTGTGAATCACTAACTGTACTTCGCTCACTTCTGAACTTAACTTATAAACTTATCATTTTCTTGGGCCTATTTTGACTTGCTTGGCATATATTGGACTTTCTTATTCTTATTTCATCAGTTATTTATTTCTGGACTCTACCGGTTGCTTAAACAGCAGTACAAAATACCCGGTAAAAACACTATTCACGAGATTTTCACGGAAAGTGCCAGACTATACAATTTTTCGTTCTGAACTCATATTTGTCGTCAGAATTATCAAATTATGTCTCTAAAATTATTTTGCTCTTTTTAAGCTCTACCGGTTAATTCACAAAACTGTAAATTCTCCGGCAGAACGCACTGTTCATAACATAGTCATGATTACAGTCAAAATACTCGAAATCGCTCACTGAATCTAATTATGGCATTTAAATCCTTAAATTAAATCTCTAACTAAGATTTACCAGTTAGGGTCATTATAATGACATAATGAAGTTTATTCTAGCAGAGATATCAAGCAAGAAAAGTAATTGATAATGAATATTTGAATGTCTTACACGAAAATGATTAATTAATATGTAAAGAACTAACTCAACCCAAAAGTTTAAGCAATTGAAAGGTGGAAAATGTACAGACTTACTTACCTGTTCTTAAAAAGCTCGATAATACTTAATTAATTATTAATTAAATAGGTAGTAATGAGAATCGAACCCGTGATACCGAGACTCTGATACCATGTAAATAACTAATTTAATCTAAAAGCTGAAGCTGGTGGCTGAGACTATATTTATGATTTTATATATCTCTAATAAGAAAGATTATGTTTATAAACTTTTTATTTACAAATATAATTATATATTCTAAAAAATACAAATACATATCTCATCTCTGACATATTATTTACAATTGTGCTCGGTTAAAGTTGAAAGTAAGGCCTCATCAAATGGCAGTAATTTAGTTGGCGCATGAGAGTTAAGCAGGTGAGAGTAGGAGTATGTGTTCGAATCTTTTCAGTACCATCTTTGAGAGAAGTTTAAAATCTTAATTCTAAACTAGTCTTGAATCGGATTAGTTGCGAAGCAATTAACCGATTGGAATATAAAAAAAAAAAAAAAAAAAAAAAAGTTGAAAGTAAGGTCACGAAAAAGGACAAACTCTTTATGTTTAGCAGATTTTCGTTTTTGTCATCGTTACTGTTGCGGGCGGGGAACGGAAGTAATATGCTTCGTACACCCATTTCAAGTATGATCATTCACTACTTTACACTCTTTCTTTAACACATTTTTTTTTAAAACAAACAAACAAACAAACAGGACAGCTTTACATGTTAGACATATTCCACCGCATGCTACCAATCAACTAATGCTACTAACCGAATACGTGGGTTGTCCACCATTTTTCAGGTTTCTATATTTAGTTTCCTTTCTTTTAGAAAAATAGAAAGAAAAAAAACGGAGTCCACATTAGATCAGTCCAATAATAATTTGAGTTGAATCACACAAGATTAAATATGTTCCAATAGTTGTTTCAGTCTTTGCTGGAATAGGTGCTGCGAGATTATGGCATTGCGGAGTGCAATGCGGCTTGCGGGATGCTCTGCTAGGTGAAAGACTTGAAGCTGGATCTTTAGATTTATTGAGGTGATTAGAGGAGATACTTTCACGGTATTACAACGTTAAAGTCAATATATGTTATGAACTTTAGTTCAGATGGAATAAATATATAATGATGAATTGTCTTGTTTATGTCACCTTAGTATGAGCATATTCAATATCATTGGTGTGTAGAAGGGGCTTTAACATAGTATCCAGTGTGCAAGATGTCTATTTGTGAGTTATGCTTTATAGGTGTAGCTGGAATCAGGTGTTTCTCTGCTAGGCCTTAGCCATTAGCTATTAGGGTGACTGTAGACTTCCGAGCTGCTGATATAGTGTAGTCCCAAAGAACTGAGTTGCTAATGTCATGTGTCAGTGTAATATATGCAAAAAAGTAGCATTTATTTAACTTTGAAGTTTTAGTTCTTTGGCCCTTCATGAACTCGACCTTGTATCCTGTGTGGAACAGGTTCATATTAACATCAAAATTTAAATTAAAAAATATTAAAAAAAATCTTTTTTAAGAAAAAACTTTGTCTACCAAACTTGGATTCGGAAGTAAATTTGTCGTGGAAATTAAATCGGTCACTTTAAAATATTTTGTGAAAAACTAATAGGTTATTTTCAAGTACAAACAGAAGAACATTAAAATTGTTATATTTTTCTTTTTTTTTGAGAAAATAATTTTTTTTGGTTGACAAGGCTCTCTTGGTCATAAGAATCTCTTGGTACAATGGGAAGTCAGCATGTGTTTTAGTTAATTTTAATTTTAAAAAAGGATTATTTATCTTATGTTGTAAGAGAAAAATTCTTTCATGTTGAAAGACAAATAAAATGAGATTCATCAAATTTTATTTTTATTTTTTAAAAAAGAGAGGTATATTTTTTTATGTGAATATAATATGAGAAATCAATCTCATGTAATATAAGAGTTTGATTTTTCTTTAATTTTTTTTAGAAAAAGTGATTTTATTTTTTGAAATTCTTTCGATTCAGTATGAAAACTATGGATCATGAAGCTGTCGTATTAAGATCCCCTGCTAATAACATATCACATATCAATATGTACTCAAAGCATATCGTAACATACATATTCTTCCTTGAAGTTAGTTAATTAAGTTGACTTAGTTGCCCACGTTATACTCAAGTAAGTAAAACACATGAAACATGACATGAGAAAGAAATGCAACTCACGCTTTCTTACCAACCCATTGTTTGTTTTCATTTCTTTGATTATATTACTCCTAATATTTATGAAATACAAGATGTTGATTAAATATAAATGAGAAAAATAAAAATGAACGAACTAGATTGTGAGATGTCATATTGTTCATCCACTAGGGCTAGTCTATTGGTGTGATGTGGATGTGTGTAATAAGGTGTGTGTGAGTGTGTAATTGTGTGTTCTATTCCCTGTAACCTATAAAAAAAAGATATCATATTGTTCGATGAATCCTAGAAATCCTAGATTCTGTCGGAATAAAGGATCTCTCAATAGAGACATTCTAATATGTCGTAGATTCTTATCCAAAACTTGAATAATTTGATAATTTCATATGAATCGCTAGAAACATGTGAAGTGTCAATTGTGCAAGCAAGATTGGTTGAGTTAGCCCACTTTTTTGTCGGTTATATATTTACTTATGCAGCTTTCTTGATTACTTCAACATCGGACAAATTTGATTAAATAAATTCTTTATTGGTTTCAAAAAAATATCATTTTTTTCTATGTGAAAATAATTTCTTGAACAATAGCTTAATTAAAATAAGTTATTTCAATAATTATCTTTTTTTGGTATTTAAACTTGGTTTCCTTGTTAAAAGCGACACTTAATTATCATTAAACAATCGTTATTTTTTTTTTTTTTTTACTTTTTGGTAATTTACACAATCTTTATTGAAAAAAATGGTAAATATTCATTCTATTTTTCAAAGAATTCTATAATATTAAATGTAATTTTTTATTACTATATCCTTCAAAGATTTATTAAGCATTAGAAATCTCCTCTCCTACCACTCTCACTTCGATGTCCGTACCAATCACTTTTTTATTTTTTATTTTTTTCTTTAAGGTAGGCCCTACCCCTTTCTCTGTCAGTAAGAAAACTTGCATTTCTCATTTAACGAAATGAGAAATTGCAAGCACTAAGTTATTTAAGTCATTTTGTATTGAATGTAAATATCTACTTTCACCTAGAAACATTAAAGCCTTAAAGAAAAAAAAAAAAGTGTATAAAATTAGACGCAATCGTGTTCAACGGTCGTTGAAAGTGTTTGACGGAGAAGAATGGAGAAATCGGGGAAGAGAGTGTTGCTGACCTCAAACGGCGACGAAGTTTCGCAGGGTATTGCTTTCCATTTAGCCAAACAAGGATGCAGGTGAATGATTTCTCTCTCTCTCTCTCTCTCTCTCTCTCTGTTTGTCATTTTTTGTTTGGTTTGTTGAATGAAGTGAACATGATTTATTGATTGATTCAGGTTGGTTTTGATGGGAGATGAGGCCTGCTTGCTGAGCATAGCCAACAAAATCATGAGTTCCCTCAACCTCAGAGGTTCTGATCCTGTGGTCCAGGTCGTTGGTTTGGACATGGAGGGTGAATCCGAATCCGTTTTTCATGACTCTGTTGACAAGGCATGTCAGATATTGGGCAAATTGGATGCTTTTGTTAACTGTTACACTTATGAAGGTAGTCTTGCCTTAACTGTTGCTGTTACTTATAATCATGTGACTATCAAAAGTTTGAATGGAACAGTTATATAAATAAACCGATTTTTATCAAATACAATTATTTGGAAGACCTAAATTGTGTGTGGATGGATCTATGAGCTGAATTGGGCTTCTAATCATTTGAAACAGGAAAGATGCAAGAGCATCTTGAGTTGGCTGAGAATGAGTTCAAGAAAATAGTGAAGATCAATTTTATGGCTTTATGGTTTTTGTTAAAAGCTGTTGGCCAAAGGATGCGGAACTTCAAGACAGGAGGTTCCATTGTATTCTTAACATCTATAATAGGTTCTGAAAGAGGGCTTTATCCAGGAGCTACTGCATATGCCTCAGCTTTGGCCGGAGTGCAGCAGTTAGTTAGGGTAAGAGAATATCTATTATCAGCTTCTTCTTTTTTTTTTTTTGGTTCTGCAAATATCATGATTGTGATATTGTCAAATTATTTGTTTGAAAATTGCCTTGTCAAATTTGATGGATTTTACATTTAGTATGACAACCGGAGAAAAAAAAAAAAGGAGAAAAAAAAAATATAGAAAAGAGAGAAGGTTTTTATGACTTTTGATTGCAGTCTGTGATGTGTCCTTGTGTGATGGTGTTCCTTGGTTCATACTAGAAAATTTTGTTGACTTTTATTGGGGATCAACTTTTTCGGCCGACTTTTTTTATGGAGAGAAGTTGTGTTTTCTATGAAATTGATTGGACCGTAATCATTCTTTCTCAGAGTCATGATTGACTTAATCACTGCATTGCTTTTATTGGATATATACTTCTGATTTGAATTACATCCTGGCATGTCTATTTCAATACTAGACAGTTAGAATGAGAAGTGGCTATACATTTTTAGGAGCAGTGCCTACATGGATTGCACAGGAGATGAGATGAAATCATATGCTTTTGCTGCATGTTAGAAAATGACTAATTGAAATAGGTATTATGAGAAGGATGAGGAGAACAAAGGAGAAGGATGATTCAAGTGCAATACCTTCTTCACCATATAAAATGAAAAAAAAAAAAAAAAGGAATCTCCCACCCTGCAGAAGGGGCAAACTGCGTTAACTACTGTTAAAACTTTTGATCCCCTTTTAGTCTCTGCCTTTTTCATAATTATTCTGATTGCTCCCATTGTTCTTGTAAATTCTTCCTTCAACAGTTCTATCTTATATATCAAATCCATTAATTATTCTTTCAATTTGTTTGTACAATTGGGAGTTGCGACTACTTTTGTTCTAAAGTTACCTAGAAAATTTATGTACATAATAAGGACCTAAGTTGGTTATTGGATTGGAAGATAAGGTTGCAATCAATTTAAAACTTAAAGAATATGATTAGAAAAGGAAGACCGAGCAAAATGGTGGCAAGAAAGAGTCAGCTTTGATTTGACTGATGTGATATGCACAATGGATGTGGTGCATGCTTTATTAAGTTAATCTAATTTGATCAGCTGAGATTATTTAAGTCAAATTTGGGAAGTTTTTAGCTGATGAACAAATTTATGTGACTGAATAGAGGGCATGATATAATTTAGTATTTAGATGTTTACGTTATCTTGAATGACAAAAGTGAACTTTTACTCTTTCTCTGTAGTTGCAATGGGCTTTTCTTGTTGAACTTTGGCCAGAGTTAAGCTTAAGCCTATTCTAAAGCTCCCATATTAGAAGTACACCATGCTTGAAGTTCCTATTAAGCACTGAACTTGTGATATTTTAGCTTTTTTAGTGTTTCCTTCAATTGGATTATTCAGGATTTAATATATAAGCCATGTGGTGTGAAGTTGCTCTGATGTATATTATAACTGCTTAATCACACAATTCAAGATAGCTTTTAGTTGCATTTCACATTTGGAGTGAAATACTCTTGTTTTCTTCAGGCATCGGCTTTGGAGATAGGAAAGTACCAGATCAGAGTTAATGCTATTGCAAGGGGCCTGCACCTGCTTGATGAATTCCCATTATCTGTGGGAAGGGAAAGGGCAGAGAAGTTGGTGAAGGAGGCAGCGCCACTTGAACGATGGCTTGATGTTAAGAATGATCTGGCTTCTACAGTTATCTATCTAATCAGTGATGGATCATGCTACATGACAGGAACAACCATATTTGTTGATGGGGCACAGTCTATAACCAGGCCTCGTATGCGTTCCTTTTTGTGATTTTTCCTCACAATATGAGCAGCTAGATAGAACTGAAAGGAATCTTGCAAGGGATGTTCTACCACACATTTCTTGAAATGACATCATTTGTGAAAAAGAAAGTCATATTTGGTGGGTTTAGCTACAATGTTGGTGTATCATTAGATATATAATTTATCGAATAAATATCAAGTTGGAGCTTTACTAAACAAATTTGTGGATGAATATAATTATATGGAATGGATTAACCCATACCCCGTATATGTGGTCTAATTAAGAGTTAAGTGATTAAACTGAAATATTCGAATGAATCTGACAAAACAAATTGAATATGCATGAATGTGACAAAACCATTTGATGACAAAACAAATTGGAGAATCAGAAATTCAAGCAAAGAAGAAAGAAAGAAAATTGAATACACATGAAAATTTGTTTAAGATAATGTCTCAAGAAAAATAAACATTAATTCAAAATATGATCAGTGGCCTAAAGCAAAAACAATACAAACAAACAGGTACTTTGCATCAATTTTCACCATCTTCTTGGACTCCAATTCTTCATAATCTCTTTTCATGGAGGAGATGGATTACCTTGAAAAAGTTGGTAGGTATTATGGAAGGGAATAACCTTGGTTGGCGGTACACATGATTCATTTCGGATGAATTATTGCCCTCTCTATTAATAGTTTTTCAACTTTTGTAAATAAAGCAACCATGCCTTCCAGTTCCAGACTCTCAGTATGGAAATGTGACTATTTTGATCGGTTTACCTTTTTTTTTTTTTTTTTTAAGAAAAAAGTGAAAAGAATAAAATAGTGAGGGAAAAAAAAAAAGATACAACAAAAGAAAAAAAAGGAAAAGTTTTTGACTGGATGGAGAATCCATTAATTAAGAGGATTCATGAGATCAATTTTCACATCTTTCATAGCCATTATACTTACCTTTTAACTCTCTTTTAAGCTTACTTGAGTGATTTTAATAATAATTTATGAAATTGACTCGATTGGTCATGTCAAAAGAATTCCTAATTCAGCCTGAAACAAAAAAAAACATATTAAAAATATATATTTGATTTTGATTTTAATTTTAATTCAGATAGCACAAGTTCATAATCAAAGCATTAATTAATCACAAGTGTTATTATTCCAATAAAAAATAACACTCTCTCTTCTTATTTGTCAATGAAGCTGAAACAACCAAATCCACTTCACAATCATAGGTTGTGGTTAATTTAATAATGTTGTCACATTACTAATGCAAGCAAAAGGCTTTAGAGCCATCCAAGCATAGAAGCCAATTTAGTACATAAATAAAATAAAATTAAAAAAAAAAAAAAAAAAAAACATAGCAGAAAATGGCAACTATAGGTCATTTCTCATTTGAGCAGTGCTGTAAGAACCCTTAATTAAATTCCAACCACTAATAATAACCGGTTTCCCCTCCCATAATATCTTTCTTTATCCCTCTCCATAGCTCTTTCTCTGAAGGCACCTGAAAATGTCAAAGGCGGTGGTTTGTGTCCTAATAGCCACCGCCATATTGTGCCTTATAATCATATTATCCCCATTGAACCTTAAGGAACCTAAAGGTAAAGGCCTTAATCGTAGGTTAGGGTACAAAATACTTGAGCATGCACCAAATTTTGACCCTCTTATAATTGTGACAAAGATTGAGAGAGAGACAGAAAAAAAAGAGCAACATGATGAGCATTCTCCTCCTCGTATGTTGTCAACAACATCGACGGTGAGTGAGGCTTTGGAGACTTATCAATATCTTACATCGGGTGGAAGATTGAACACCACGTTGAGGTTGATCATTTTGTTCCCATTGTTGGATAGAGAACCCAAAGATGGTGTTGTTGGTTTCAATGAGTTAGAGGCTTGGATTTCTCAACGAGCTGTTGAGAGATTGGATTATGTCACCCAGGTTGAGTTGGACTCCAAGGACAAGAATGGGGACTTCGCTATCTCTTTTACCGAGTTTCTACCTCAGTTTTCTGAAAAGGATATACGTAATTTGTTTCCTCTTGTTCGTTTTTTTTGTTTTTTTTAACCATTTTGTTAGCAATTAATCTTCCTAGCTAGAGAAAAAAGGGTTTACTCTAACTAAGGAAATTTAACATCATCACATATTAAATGAGGTTTAAAGTCGATGAATTCAAAGAAACAACAAGAACAGATTAAGGAAAAATAAATAAATTAGAGAATAAGTAAATAAATATTCACTCAAAGTAATTGAGATATAAAATTATTAAATGAGTTTTAACAATATTTTATGTAATAGTTTAAGAACAAATCTCGGTTCATAAGACTTCCTGACTTGCGAGGATAGAGATGATAGATTTGACTTGCGAGGATAAAGATGATAGATTTCCTGACTTGTGAGGACAGAGGTGATGATTAATTACACGCATAGTTACTCTTGCACCAGACTCCAACATGGTACAATGTTACTGCTCCTGCTCCTCCAAGTCTTGTCCTAATAACATAGCATACAAGTCTATATGTAATTAAATAGTTAATAGTTTAATCTTAGTAGTTAGGTAAAATAAGCCTACTCTTTGGACGAGGGAGTGAATTAGAGATATAAATTAATTTATGGGCTTTTACCTAGTAACTTCTGTCTCAAGTTTATCATGCATGGGAATATTGGTTCCTCTGAAAATTTTTGGTTGGATTGATCCTCTCTTTTTTTTTTTTTTTTCTCCTTTTATGTTTAGGGTTGGATTGATCCAGTTGTTGATAAAGTTTTTGTTGAATAGTGAGTATATATATTGGATATGGGTTTGACAATAAAAGTATATGCTGAAACAGAAAAAAAAGATATGGGGCATGGTGAAGCAGGATGGTGGATGGAGAAATTTGATACTGCAGACATTGATCACAATGGACTTCTTAACTTCACCGAGCTGAGAGAGTAATAAACAATTGATCACTATTTCTTTTTGTTTTCAATATTCTTTTATACATGGTTAGTTACATCTTGCCTGAATTGTTATTATTTTATGCACTGGAATTGATCACAAGAGATTCAACTCTTCTTGCAGTTTTTTGAACCCAGAAGACAGCAAAAATGTGGAAATGCTGAAATGGATGTTGAGAGATAAAATTAAGTAAGTTCTTCTTGTAAAAAAGAGTACAATTCTTGTCATTTGCTTATAATTAATTTAGATTATAGTTTAGTGGTTATAGTTTCAATTGGGGAAGAGAATTTCAGTTACGTATATTAAGCTCATAATTTCCTATATGGACCCACTTGAATGTGCAAATTGGCTTAATTAGCATACATATTGCTTTGTTTGTGATCCAGGCGCATGGACGATGAAATGGATGGGAAACTGAATTTCGACGAATTTGAAGACCATGTATATAGTACTTACGTAAGTTATATGGACTTTGAAACTAATGGAGGGAATGTACCTGATGCAAAGGATAAATTTGCTGAGCTTGATGTGAACAAGGACCAGTAAGTTTTTGTTTCTGCCTAGGAAATATATGTTTCTACATAATCAACAATTATAAATTGAATTTTCATTCTTTGACATAAGCTATATATCTGGTTTAGTGCTATGGAATTGTTGTTTTTGTTGTTCTAAACTTACCATTAACATATATTTGGTAGGTTATTGTCACCGGAAGAATTGATACCGATACTTCCTTACATCTACCCTGGAGAGCTAGCTTATGCTAAATATTTCACGTGCTATTTAATGAATGAGGTTAGTTACTTTTCATGAATTGTAAAAGTTTGTGTGTTGCGTGATTGGAATACAAATAGAAGGCAATTATCAATGAAATGAGAATGGCGAAAAATAGGAATGTAGCCAAGCACATAGCATATTTACATATTCTCTCTCGTGAAGTCTTTGTGATTAAGTAGTCACCAATTCGATAATAAATTCGTATATTATTCATCCTTCAGGTTCAATAGTATTAAAGAAATATAATATTATTAAAAGAAAAGGTAGTTTGAATATGTGAGATTGTTGGTTCTGTTTGTGCAGGCTGATGATAATGAAGATGGAAAATTGTCACTCCAGGAGATGCTTGATCATGAATTTGTTTTTTACAACACAGTTCATGCAGATGGGCATCAGGAAAGCGATGATGAACACGATGAGCTTTGATGTATGAATATAAAAATAAATAGTGAACTAGTTCTTCCTGATTATGATTTTGTAAAATATAGAACTCAAACAAATCCAAAACGAAATAATTTTGCCCCTTTCTCAATCGGATGCATAATTAACATTTTAATTTGGTCTTTTTTATTACTAATAATAATAATAATAATGATAATAAACTAAAATGTTAATTTGGTCTTTAGGCATGAATGGTTTATTTTATAACTTCATTTTATCATAGGTAAGCTATTTTTTCCGAGGGTTGGGTCAGGATTAAACGGGATAGAATATAAAACATTCCATCCGTCTCTTATCTGGAACTAATTCTACGCTCTTTACCTAGGAGCTTCATTTGTAATATGAAAATCAGCACCTGCTATAGGTCAACCCCATAAAAGAAGCAATAAATATTACATGACATAAAGTTCAACAACAGTAAATATCTTAGGAACGAATTTGGGCAAACAAAAAAAAAAATCATTGACTTTCACAATAACAAATCTCTAACTCTATTCAAATTTTGCCCACATAATTAATAATTATTTCTATTCACTAAATAATTTAATGCAAGCTATAATCCAAATTAAATTATTTCATGTACATGCCATTGTGAATTTTTTTTCATATCAATGTTATTCAAATTATTTTTGTTATGAAACATACATAAATATTGACGATTAATTTAAAAAATATATGTTGAAAATATAACTTTTTTTCATTTTAGAAAATTTTGTTAGACATTTGATATCTTTTATTTAAAATTATATTTTTATAACTTTTTAACACAATCTAATTCACCTCAAATATAGAATAGAATAACATAATTATATCATATATTTACTGGGTTTCAATTTTATCATGCAATAAGAAATAAGTATCTTATACTATAGACAAATTTTGTGTAGGACTCGTATCTATTAAAATATATATATATATATTCTACATAAAAATTGAAGGGTCACTAATAGATAAAACAATTCTCATACCAAATCGATATCCCCATACCAAATCGATATAAACATATTAACCCTACAAGCTACAGGGGTCAACAAAGTAAACTTATCTCTTTTGTAGTTTTCTCTACTTTTCATTGTGTGATTGCTCTAATCTTTATATTCAGTTAATTATATCATATACTTATATAGTGCAAATCGACATAAACATATTAACCCCACAGGGGTGAACAAAGTAAACTTATCTCTTTTGCTTTTCTCTCTTCTTTTCTCTACTTTTCATTGTGATTGCTCTAATCTTTATACTCACTTTTGTGCTAAGACTTTTATGATAGATCAATGCTTTTAATGTAGGCAAAACATAAATAAAAGACAAGTTAAATCAAGTTTTAATAATTTTAAAGATAGACTTGGATTAAAAGAACCATTGGGAGTAAGTGATAATCACAAGAAGTTTTTGAACTTTTCAAAAAAAAAAACACTGAGCATTTCTACTGTTAATGGATAATTGGGAGTAAACAGCACAAACTCAAAGTTTAAGAGATTGTTTTACACTTTATCGGTTAAATGGATGTCCATTGCACGGAAGAGGGTTTTGTACATTTAATAAAGAGAAATAATTTTATCATGCAAAAACTATTTTACATGAGAAAATTTTCTATGTAAAATGAGAAAATTAATTCGAGATAGGATATTATAACAACTAATTAGTGTTATTACCAATATTACTACCAATCAATTTCACCGTTAGATCGATTATGTTAATCCAACGGTTATATTTATTTCCATATTTGTATGGTTATGACTTATGATTCCACATATTTAATATGAAAACATTAAATATAGAAAATCATAACCATACAAAGATGAAAATAATATAACCATTAGATCAATAATCGATCTAATGGTAAAATTAATTGGTAGTAACACTAATTGGTTGTTACAATATCATTCCTCAATTAATTCCCTTTAATAAATATGAAAAGGTCTTTTAGACCCTTCTAAAAAATGCGGAGATAAATCTTACGTAACTTAAAGCTAGAAAAACAAGCATCCTAGTTACAGCGATGAATGGTTTGAAGAGATTTAAAGAACAAGAGAAAGATGAAGCTAAAATAAATAAATAAAAGATGCCATGTGAATCTAGCCAACCTCCATCTGCACATTAGCCACCATTGTCGAGACAGCCATACAAATAAGCAATGCCATGTTTAAGGAGCTGACCTCGGAGTAATAAACAACAACCTTTGCAGTTCCAGTGCTAATTTTGGATCAAGAGGAGAAATCTGGTAGCCTGAAAAATAAGTTTTTTCACGATAATAATATAAACATGTTGGTTTATTTCAGTCATCAGAATTATGTCTCTATCTTGTCATGAAGCGTGACCACTAAGTTATGTGCATCATCTAGCAATTTCCAAATATCAAGCTGTCCTAACATGCTATTGCATTCTCTAATGATCTCATCCATGCTGCTGTACTTCTCAATGATCAATTTCCTTCTCTGCAATACCGAAGCTGCTATTGCATAAAGCAATAAATCTTCTGTTGGTGGAGCACGCTGCCTAATTCTGCTCCATGAAGATTTCCCAATACCTGCCTTGATAGCAACTTGATCTGCCCACATTACTTCCCAAAGGCAAAGAGTCTGTTCAAATGTCAATTCCCTTCGAAACAATACCACCACCATCCTATAGACAAAAAAGCAATCCTCAGCCTGAAGCTTCTCCAAATGCCTAAATAGATGGGCATCCTTAAACTTGATTATTTTTGCAACTGTATCCAGTTGCCTCCGAATACCCACCTCGTCAAGCCTAAAATTTTGCCGTGCCTTCTTCATGAATCCGACAAAACACCAGAAAGCCTCATGATCCTCAGCTATAATACTAACTATAGGAGATAGTAGGTCACTCATACCCTGGCAGTAGCCAATTTCAGAGTCATATAGTGCATATGCTTCAAGAATAGCAACTAGTCGGGCAGCATGGAAGATTCTGCTGGCCTCTAGGTGACCATAATCCTTCAAGCCAACAGCCTCAGCAGTGCGACGTGCCCTGCTGTCTGATATTGCAGCTTGAGAGGGGTAGGATGCCATCCATTCTGCATTTGCACGTACAGCATCAAGTCGGATAATCCGTTGCCAGGTGGAAAAATCTTCAGTACTTGGTAGTTTTGATGGAACTTTTGCTTGTAAGGGAGAAGAGAGTTCCTTGGAAGCTTTCTTGGGACTGTTCTCTTCCTGAAAATCATCGGAAGGAACTGCCTGAATTACTTCAGGACCTTCTGAGGTGACTGAATCAGAGGAATCAGTATCCTGAACAGAGGCATCAGCATTGTTGACATTAGAAACATCATCTCCTTCCAGCAGGGCACTGGACGGATTATCTGAATATTCAACATCTGGGCTCTTGTCCTCACTAGAAAGGGATTCCCTGGCACTGGCTGCATCTTCAGAACTAGAAGAACCAGAATCTCCATCTCCTTCATAGCTGATTTCACCAATTTCATTTAAATTAATGCTATCATTTCTTTGCTTGATGAGTTTCCGACATTGCCTGCGAAGTTTCTCGTATTGCTTTCTGTGTATAAAGATTTGCAATATATTCATCATGATGTTAACAAGGCCCCGCCCAGCGGCCCAAAAAAATGGGAAAAGTACAAAGAATATAAGTTTAAAGTCTGGGGAAACATAATGGATCAAGCACGAAAAGAAATGATTAATTAAATATTTGGAGATCAAACTTATATACCAACCTATTCTGAATTCTTCTAAAATCTCTTTCGCTTTTGGTACTTTCCAAGTCATACCTGTTTAAAAGAACAAGTGTAATCAGTAACCATATAAAAGTTATCTGAACAAATTAATACATGTAGAAGAATGAAAAGAAAACAATAAAATGCATTCTAATAAACTAAAATAAAGAAGGGACAAGCCAAACCATATCCTTCCTAATAAATAAATGGAGAAAAACACCAAGGTTGAGCTATTAATTCAAAGATGAATAAGATTCATCGTAAGTATGCAAGGAAATAAATAGTAAAGATCATCTAGAAATCAAACAAGAACAATAGCGTGCTTACACTCCAAGTAGGAATGGCCAAACCTCAGCCCTAATACTAGGATCAACACCCTGCATCAGATATTGATAATGCAATTAGTTCCTCAAAGAACCATGGGAAACACAATTTTAAAGTCTAGATAAAAGGATAGGTATACTCACTCCACTGCGTACTCTTTTCAGGAACTTAATTCCACCATCACAGAATCTACCATCTTCTGTAAACAAGCTTTTCCACTGCTGAGGTGAAAGGGCATCCTTTCTTTTCCTGGCTGACCATGGTGATTTAAGCCGACCCCTTAACATATGATGGAAAAAAATTAAGAACTACTATGTCAGCAATTTTTAGAATAGAGAATCAGCAGCCAACAACCATGGAAGTAATTAGAGTTGTCAAAAAGTACAAAAAAAAAGATATTCTTCCATATTCCAAGTAAACAATAGTGCTATTGAACAATCAAGAACCTTTTTCAAGCCAATTATGGTTGAAAAAGCATCTCTAAATTGAAGCATTTTACAATTACAATTTCTATGTTGATTACAGTCTTGCCACAGATTTCATACATTTTATTATGTTAGTGTTTGTTGATTTTTTTGAAATCCTATATGTGGAACTGTCTTAGTTCCTTAATGATAAAGCACTCAAATGCATCCAATACTACAAGCATTCAACTTACATAGTTAATATTGTATTAGTGCTACCTACTATTTGCATGTGAAAATTAACTACACAAGTTTAAGAAGTATCAGTCTAAATTTATGATTGAAGCTCCTGTCAGTTGTCGACTTCTAGTACAACAAATTACTAACCTCAGTATACAAAGCACCAGTGGCTCTCTTTACTGCTAAAGTTACCCTTTTTTAATTTTAGTAATCAATTTAGTCTTTCTGAGGGAGGAAAGAACCTATGTTCTCCGAGAAAAAATTTCTGGGGATATGAAGAATAAAAGATTGTATTTGAATAAAATCAACATCCCTTAGATGTATATATCCAGACAAAATCCAGATTATTAACGCCCCTAAATTAAGTAATTGATGCAGCAGGACAACCATGACTGTATTTTTACATGCCAAAAATATATTTAGGTCCAGAAAATATCATTCTCCAGTGTACAGATGAACATGAGACATGCTCATTAAATATATGATAGCACATATTTTTCTTTTAAGCTCAGGAAAGAAACACAGCAACAGCAGGATTTGGATACCAATGAAGATCATCATTACGTAACATTCTCATAGCCAACCACAAATGCAATCCTAACAGGTGATTTCGTTAAGGGCAATTGATTTGAAATGAATAAGAGATGAAGCTGAAAACAAGAAGAAAGGAACTTCAATTCGAGGAATTTTCCTATTCGAGAATATACACCAACACCAAAAGAAAGATTCATTTTCCTCTCAGCATCTCTCTTCCCTCCTCTTCATCTTCTTCTTTCACATGAATCACATCAAAAAAATTTTTTTTTTTTAAAAAAACATACTTTAATTCCAACAAATGAAATAATTCTACCAGCACCACAAAGTAAAAATGCACACTAGCCGATCAACCTAAGCTGACAATGATAGGAAGATTGGGGATTCCGAGAAACAGAGATCTGCCACGAAATAAACACAAAACCATAGAACAATCCGAGTTGAAACACATCTTTTTGGTAACTAAAAAACAGAAATTGAGAACAAAAGGAAAGAACTCACCGATCAGACGGTGAACGAGAAGAAGCCGGTGAGGAAGAGTTAACAACGACTAGAACCGAACGCAAATTAATCCACGACGACAACGACGATGAAGAAGAAGGAGAGGAATTCGAAGACGACGAAAATGGATTGTTACTTCGTCTAAGGGGATTCATCTATAATAATTCCTATATATGCATAAATACATACATACATACATACACACTTTTCTACGTTGTGTCTAGGGTTTTTCGAAGCTCTCTAATGTGATTAATTTTATTTTATTTTTTGGTTCAATTGTTGTTATTAATATTATTTTTGGTTCTTGTTGGTTTTACCTACTGGCACCGTAGAAAATGACAGCCAACAGAGCAACGCCGGCTAGGGCCGTGAACACAACCGCAGAAGTAGAGGGCGTCGCCGGGGCAGCCATCAACCAGAACCAGCCGTTGCCGCCGCCGACGGCGAGAATGGTAGTGTCGCTGTTGCTGTACAAGAGGATGGATGTGAACATGAACGAGAAGATGGATTGAAATTACCGCGATGCCCTTTGCTATGCTCAACCCTTTCTCTCTCTCATCATCTTCTTCTTCTTCTTATTCTGCAACCACCGCGCTATTTCTTTTTGCTTTTGTCACCTTTTTCGTTCTCGTAGAAGCCAAACGTGGAAGCCAAGTTCTATTCGCTCTTATCGTCTTTGAAAATGCATTCGAATTTAGAGGGGCACGGAATCCCGTTTCCCAGATCACTGAATCAAGTTTACCGGAGTAATAACATTTTGTCACTTTTGTTTTTTAAAAACAAAGAAAAATAATCAAAAAAATCATTTGGCTGAATATTGATAAAAATATTTTTATAATTTAATGTTATGATATTACTTCGATTATATTTATATGTTAATACTTAATAATTACACATTTAAAAATAAAATTTATAAATGTATGATATTTTTTACTGAAATCGCTTTTTGAATTTTTTTTTTTAAATATAAATCATATTGTATTAATTTTTTTCCTTTCATGAAACTAGATTCGAATAAAATTAAGTTTTCAAAATAAAATGAAGTTTAAAATTTGTCTATGTATCTTTTTGGTGTCGGAAGGGAGGTAGAGACAAAGGAGAGTGGAATGTGATTATATAAAGTGGATCAACTGTTAAAAAAAGAAAAAAATATATTAGAATAAATAGTTATAAAAATATCATCGTTGATTCACATTTATATGATTGTGATTTTTTCGTATAATATGATCATGTTAAATGATACTTATTTTCCAAAGAGAAAAGGAAAGAACTTAAGATGGAATGCTAAGGAATAATGAATTTGATCCACTCATATATGTTATTTTAGGGGTGTATTGAATTGAGATTTCAAAGAATTTTAAATGGATTATTTTTGAACTAAAAAATCCATTGATATTCGATTAGAATTTTAAAAGCTTATTTTAGATTCCATCCAAATCCATTGGTACTCAATAAAGATTTTAAACAATGTAAAAATAATCTTGTTGTATTCAAAAATATGACGATTTTAATGGATTTTCTATTGGTTTGAATTTCGTAAGACCTTTTAGTGAGAAATATAAATAAGATGTCTCTTCACAATCTCACCTTAACCAATATGAATTTTTGATATTTCTCTATTGCAGTGTCTTCTTCCTTTGGAGAGTCGAACCACTCGAAATCAGGTTTCGCCATGGGACCTTCGTAAAATCTCAAAAACAACAGATTTTTGAGAAATTTCCATCACAAACCATCCCAGAAACAACAACTCAACAATATTTTAATCTAATCCATCTCAAAAGTCGCAGATTTTTTAGCGATTTTTGAGAGTTTTTTAAAGTTTAAAAAATAATTTTTCAAGTTACTGGTCGCGATTTTTCTTGGCAAAAAACTGTGTGATTTTTGTATTAAAAATAATATAAAACAGTGGAAAAACTACAGGAGAACAAAAATCCATCAAACCAATTTTCATTTTACATCAATGAAACATGATTGATTTAAAGAAAGATTAAAATTTTCATAATATGAACCTTATGTTTCATAGTAATACATTCATGAACGAAATTCATTCGCTATAGGAAACGATTTCAAATAATTTTTGTGTCAATAGATCACTAAAACTTTATTTTTCAAAAGCTCCAAAGCAATTTAAGGTTTCAACGTATCAATTGAAAATAATTTGAGAAATTTTCTAAACTTTCAGGTAATAAAACCCAGAAATTCAGATTCAAAATTTTCTTTGAATACTCAATAAAAACATGCATATGATATATGGTTAGAAAATTCATATCTCGTAAAACAAAAATCTCAAAGTTTACAAGATCAATTGCAAAAATTCCAAATGAAATTTTACTTTTTTTTATAAATTTTATTGATTGAGAATTGAACCGAGACCTTTTCTTTTTCACTTATTCAGTTCCCATACTACCAAATAAACTACCACTGCAAAACAATTATTGTAATCCATTATTTTGGTGGATGAGATATTTGACGGGTCTTTGACCCATTTGGGGTTTTTACCCCTTTAATTTATCAATTTGGTATTTGGTTCACGATATTTATCAATGAGGGTCATTTAGTGACGCGAGGGGGACCCAGCGGCACTGAGTGCCGCAACCCTCCCCCCACGTCACTCATACAATCTTTTATTTATTTTTATTTTTTTCAATTGAGTGCCGTTGGGTCTCCCTCTTGTAAGAAATCGCACCATTAAATTAGGAATTTAATTAATTAATTATGAGATTATTGAGATGATTCCATAATTGACCTTAATTATTATGAGAAGGCTTAAATAATTATAGAAAGTGATTAATAATGTTGAAAATCGTTTTTCTGACGAAAAGTGCAGATACCGATTCTGCTTCACAGTATAAATGCGTACCGATGAAGGATCCCAGAAAATTTATAATAAGTATGGAAATATTCCTAGAATAATAAATAGGACTATTATAACAGGTTTGAAGTCAAAATAATGAGAACTGGCATCAGAACTGATAACGGCTACGTAAAAGCGCGTACCGGCAAAGTGCTGCGAAAAATAAAATAAAAATATGAAAAATCCTAGAAAAATGGCTAGGTTCTGAATCCAAAGTTTGGGATTAAAATGCTAAGCGTAGCTATTAGTGCTTATACAGTGCGATTAATACTTAAGTGGACTATATAAAGACATGACACATGATCCTAGGTCAGATTATAGTTGCTCTACGTGAGTTTTTGCTGAACCTTAGCTGCTTCCATTTTTCCCTCACCTTGCCACCTTCATTCCTCCAAAGAAACCTTCAAAGTGACCACATTTCTCCATTGTTTCTTTATCAAATCACCATGGTTGAGTGTGGTTGAGACTTGGGTGGGAGAAAAGCTTTTGTTTTTTGAGTTTAGGTTCTGTTTTGTGAGGTAGTGGGGGCTGAGTTGTGGGTTCTCTTCATTGTCATGGCAGTTTGAGCTTCAAGGAGCCATTTTTATTGAGAAAGAACAAAGTTTTGTTGGTCCAATTTGTGGACCCTTTGAAGTCAGACTTTGGAGCTACCTTGTGAGCTCCAAGAGCATCTTAGTTTCTGTTCCAAGCCTTTGGGTAAGCTTTACCACCTTTGATCATGAGTTTTATTGGGTAAAAGTGGAGTTTTGACATGTTTAATAAGTTATTTAAGTAGCTAACATGATCATTGGTCTAAAGGGGCTTAAATATGCATGCTTTAACGTATTAAAGTGTTAAAAATGGAACATTGGTTGGATATCCTCGCGAAAATGCAGAACTACATTCTGTCGCGAAATATCCGGATATGAGATCCGGATATTGATATCCGGATATGGAGTTGGAGATATCCGGATATGGGTATCCGGATATGATATCCGGATATGACCCCGACAAATATCCGGATATTCTGGGAATTTCGAGACAGTGATTGTTCTGTTCATACAGAACTGTATTTGGGGTTTATGGACCCTAGATTGGTTGAGTTGAATCTATGTAATAACTAACTAAGTCAGAATCAAAGGGATTAAGGGCTTATGACTTTGTGAGAAGCCTAAAGACATTAAATGAAGAAGAAATCATTGTTGTTATGTCTTGAACTATTAGATGATGAATGATAATATGATTGTTGGTCTAAAACAGATTGTGATTGTGCTGTTTGTGGACCTTGAGCTAGTGTGGACTTGGCTTGGATAGATTGCTTAAGAGGTAAGTTTTCGCATTCTCGGTTTAGCCATTGTTGGTTCCACCGTATCCCATGGGGGAATGGTTTATATGCATGATGTGTTTTCATGTATTGATATTTGAAATGTTGTTGAGTTGTTATGTGCAAGTGCTTCATGATATGCATGTGTTGTGCCACCTAGACGGTAAGGTTGAGTATGTGGATACATACAATAGGGTGACTCTGTGGGTGGGTGAAAGTGGTGTCTTGCACTGATTATAGGTAATAGACGTATCTAAATCTTGAATTCCCTGGCCAGTAGAATATTTTGACACACATGACATGATTATATGCTGCATTGCACTGATTTTGAAACTTATAATATTTTACTATTTTTAGAACTTATATTGCACATGTAAGTGAGCTTGGGGTGGAGAGATCCTTGAGGACCCCTTGCCTTACTGAGATTTCTGTTTAGAGATCTCACTCCACGTTTGGGGCACATTTTCAGGTTCAGGTAACTCGGGGGTTGATACCTCGAGTGGCAGGAGGCCGGAGTTGAGTTGAGATATATGCTGTTTATGATGATATGCTTGGATGTTGGCATGTTATTTATTTATTATCATGTTGTTTGATTTGAGACTCTGTTGGGCTTTGTTGCCTTATTTGGTGAGCATGGGAGTTGTCCATGCCACATTGATTTGACTATGTTGATTTTAGATTCGAGTTGTATAAAGTATCAGGATTATGGTCCGGACTACGTGTGGTAGTTCTGTGATTTAGATACTCACTTATTTATATTTATGTAATGAAGTTATTCAGTGTAGTTAGTTGTTTATTTGCAATTTACTTACAGACAATGTTTTGAAAAGGGATTAATTAATCAACTTGGTTAATATTAATGACGTCATAATTGAAAAGAAAAAGTTAATTCCGTATTTTAATTAAGCGTAGCTTAATACGATGATATGATAACAAATCGGGTATATACAGGGTGTTACACCTCGCGTCACTCAATGGCCCTCATTGGTAAATAGTGCAAATCAAATACCAAATTGATAAATTAAAAGGGTAAAAACTCCAAATGGGTCAAAGAGCTGATATTTGACCGCTATCATATTCTCTAATTCTATTTTTATAGTAGACATTTTCTTAGATATTTGGCCACATGATTTTTGCTCCTCAATTCTTATACTCAGAAGGTTTTTTATATTAAAGTGTTCTCTGTTTCTATTTTTTTATTTACTTTGAACTATTCAGACCAATGTTGTTAAATCCGGCTTGGTTATTGATTCAATCGAAGTATTGAATTATTGGATTATTTGTTCAACCAGTGGGTCACTGGTTCAACTGTATGACTCGATAAGTATAATATGTAAATCTATAATTTATATTAAACAAACTATAAATACCTGTAAAAAAAAATGATACGAATTCCAAATATTTTAATATGAAAACATTAAATTACATATTATTGTCCAATAAAAGATTAATCAAACATATAATACTTGTGATGTTGGGGCTCAGGTTCAGTAGACAACATCTCTAAGTCTATAAATTATATCAAAATTCGTTGCATATTACATAATCAAGATAATAATTGGTATTGTAGGTACGTAACCTATGTAAATCAATAAGCAACAAATTACTCAAATATTTCAAAAGAAAACAAACCATTTGTGTGTCAGAGTGAAAAAAAGAAAGTTATGAAGATCAGAAAAATTAGATTTTTTTTATGAACCGGGTCGAGCCACCGGTTGGACTGATCGGGTTATCGGTTTTTACAAAACCCGTTTGGGTCGCACCGATTCTCTTACATAGCCGATCAAATATAAAAACCAATCCAATTATATGGTCAATATACCTGTTTTGGGGTTGACTCGGCCAAATCGGTCCGATTTTTATAACATTTGATTCAGACAATATCCCTTTGCTTCAGCTCTGCTAAATCGTGCTCTTTACCTATCACTAACTAGAAATTAATGTATAATTCAATCTTTATATTATTTACACTTAACATTATTTTATCTATGTTCAAATAGTTGAAGTAATGAATCATATATTAATTAAAATTAAAAACTACATGTAAGATTTTGAGTTATGAAATGCAAGTTTACTCTTTTTTTTTTTATTTAGTTCACTCTTCATTTTAAAATACTTCTCTTAGACTGAGATCTTCTATTGCTAGCATATTGAGTGCAAAAAATATTGAAGCACGAGGATTTGGGTCTACCTTCTATAACAGATCCAAACAGGAAATTTTTTAGCTTCATTGTCCAGAAAGTCAAAAGGGAATTGGGAGGATAGCAAAACTAATTTCTTTCTGAAGTGGGTAATGCTACATCAATCAATTTTGTTCTCTTGCCACTTTATCCTATGACATTATAAATTACCATATGATCTTTGTTACGAAATGAAGAAGCTTAGTAGAGTTTCAGGTGGGGAAGAAGACCTGGGCATAGCGGCATATCTTGGAAGACTACATGTGCAAAAAATAGATGTAATCTTGGTTTTAACTACCTCGAAACAATGAACTCATAACAAGGCACGAGTGGAGGTTAAGCTAGTGTTGGATAGTAAAGATCAAGATCGTTTTCAGGGAACAGTTGATTTAAATTCCTTTTTCTTGGTTCTATTCCTTAATTCTTGGATTGTAGTAATCTCACTTTTAAACTAAAGAATTGAATGAAATTGATTTTGTAAATAAAACTGGATTAACAAATGGAACTAAAATGGTTAACTACAAAATATTAACAATGAAAAGATTTTGGAATTCTTGATTCATGGACTTTCTTAAAGCAATTCGCATTCTTAATCACAGAATTTGAACTACTATGGCTATTTTAACCGGAACTTCCCAGTTCCAGATTTGTTCCTCAGAATGATCTTTTTCCAAAGTCTTCTAAATCTTCAAGAATTATATCAAATACCTCCTTGGGTTATCCCTAACCTCAAGGGTTTAATTAGCAAAATAACATAACATGATTTCCCAATCGCAATTATGCTAAAAATATTCCAAGATCCATTCCCATGGTTTCTTGAACTTTTAAATCAGAATCTTGCTAATCAAATGAGACTAAAAGAAACATTACACTGATCATAAAAATAAAGAATCACCCAATCATCTTGAATCCCAGAAAAGAGAAAATTAGCAAGCCATATTAATAGTAAAAGGAATAAAGAAACTAAATGCAACAAAGAACATTGTATTTTCTTACCAAGCTAAAATGTAAAAGTCAAGAATTGCAAACCAGATTTCTTCAAAGTGAAATTGAAAAGGTAATAAAACTAATCATACAAAGCTTGAATGTTTAACACAACTCAATCTTGAATCCCTTCAAGAGAAGAACCATGCATGTGCGTACAGAGCCAACAAAGCTAAAACTAAAATTCAAGAACTAAAAAATGAACTTCTGGAAATTGAGAAAATAAAACTAAAAATCTGAAAATTTCTAAGTCTAATTCCTCTACTTAACTAAAAATAACTGATTCATTGCTATCCATCCATGTCTATCCTCATCCAACGGTCTAACTTTTTTTTTCTTCACTTCCAAAAAGTAACTCATATGACTCTCTAACTGCAATAAAAATAGTAAAAGAGGATAGTAAATCATCAAATTATCTCTTTCTCTCTTTTTTACTTTATTGGGCTGATTGGTACTTATTTGACCCATTACCCTGCACTTATAACCAGTCTTCAACTCAAATATTGTAAAAATAAAGCCATTACCAACAATAATATTCCAAATTCTATATAAAGATAATCCAAGCATCCAAGAAATGAGAATAAGGATAATGTTGTAAATATTAACTATTTACTTAGTTATTATTATTTGTTGTATTGGGTCAAGCCCATTAGGTCAAGAATTAGGTCTTTTATTGTCTATAAATAGAGACCTCTCCATACAGATTATTTACACAATTCAATAATATCTGATAACCCTTTTTTCAAGTTGGTATCAGAGCATAATGGACCCTTCGGACACTTTGGTATCCATCATGACAACCCTGCAACTTTCTTCACCCCTGACAATGTGAAAAACTTCAGAAAGAGACGGTAATTTTTCCTTACCAAGAATTTGAACTCGAATAGGGTCATATTCTAAGTTGAGAACACAAAGAAAATCATAGATCCTATGGCGTTCAATGGAGGTGGTCAGAGTGGCTGCATCCTTGCTACATTCCATCTTCAAATTCTCGTACTGATCAAGCTCAGTCCATAACTTATTCATAATACCATAATATTCTGTTATAGAGAGAGAGCCTTGCTTGGTAGAAAAAATCTGATTCCTCAGATCATAACAAGTGGCAGCATCTTGCTTCATTGAGTACGTCTTTCTGAGAATATCCCAGATCTCAAGAGCGGTAGGTAAGAACATGCAATGTTGACTAACCTCAGGAGTCATAGGGTTCCATAACCATGTCATAATAAGAGAGTCTTCATCATCCCAGTCAGCAAATTTTGGATCTGTTTTGGCAGGAACAGGTCCTTTAAGATGAGTAATTTTACGACGCCCTTTAAGGATGGTACGAACAAGTTGAGACCATTGCAAATAATTCTTCCTATTAAGAAGATAATTCTGATGAAGACTTGGGAGATCAGTGTGACCAAGAGGGGTCACCGTAGATTGTGTAAAAGAGTTTGCAGATGTGTTTACAACAGCCGAATCAGTGTCGGAAGAAGCCATATTGCAAAAATAGATAAAAAATAGCACCAAGAAGCAAGAGAAAATATGTTCTTGATCTTCTCAAAGAAGTAGGAAAACTCGGGTGTAAACCCTCTAATACTCCGATTGAGCAGAATCACAAGATTGGCTATGAAGATGAGAGTCCTTCAGTTGATAAAAGACAATATCAACGACTAATTAGAAAATTGATATATCTAACTCATACTAGACCATACCTAACTTATGCTGTTAGTCATATTTGCCTTTATACACTAATGCAGCAACAATTCTCGTCAGTAGCTAAAAGATGTACGATATATTCCTAGCTTACATCATTAATTCGATATTAGGATTCCTTTGGATAAAATGATTTAAAAAAAATCAATTAAAAGTAAAGAAGTACTCCCCTTAATTTGTGAATGATTTAAACTTTGAGATTAATCAAAGCATAGAAAAAAAAATGGCAGTAGAGCAAACAACTCAATTATTATGTGTTAAGAGAAACTTAACGAGCACAGTACCATAATATAAAATGAAATAATGATCATTCGACCAAATAGTACGTACTCTCCCTTAATACAAGTTATTTTTCAATTTTTGCAGCACTCTCAATTTTTAATTTCATAATGTTGGTACTTGGGAGTTGGGTAATTAATTTCCTTTTCCACTGTCCTCTCAGTTAAGTTCCCAATTTTCTAAATTTCACCTTTAGGTAGTGTTTGGTTGAAGGTTTATTTTGGGATTGATGAGAAATGGATATTGGAAAATATCACGTTTGGTTCAGGATTTTTAAAAAAATACCAGGCAAATAGGATAGATGGGAAAATGATTTTTGTGTTGATTTTTGGATGAAATTCACCGTTACAGAATACCACTTGAGATGTGGTATTTTGAGATGACTGGGAAAGTGAAAAAACAGGTGCAAAGTTTCTCCCGAACATAGATTTTGCATATTTAAATAAATTTCTCTAGTAATATTTGGGTCAACCAAACAATTTTTTTTACATTTTCCTACCAAACTCACTTTCCAATCATTTCCCTATCAATTACATTTCGCTAGTAAAAAAAAATTTCTCCCGAACCAAACACTACATGATAGAGAATCAAATATAGCCCTGAATAAAATAATAAACATTATAGATAAGCATAAACGTAAGCGTCATAATTCATAAATAAACCGTAACGAGTAAAAAGCATGAAATACAAATAAAGTCATAAATTACTACCCTCCAAAAAAAAAAGTCATAAATAAATAGTCCAAGCTCCACTAGTGCCACGAAGACGATCCTGGATCTTCTGCAGTCTCATATTCTCCCCCATCAATGTTCTGTTCTCAATCTTTGTGATTAATTTATTCTTAGCGTAGTCCTATTGTTGCAGAGAGTCATCTTCACTTTGTTGAAGGTAAAGAAATTTCATTAATTTCCCATTAGTACCCCACTTTCTAGTTATTGATTCTAACCCCCCCCCCCCCCCCCCCCCCCCCCCCCCTTTTTTTTTTTTCTCTTTATCTGATTGTTTTCTGATCTAAACCTCTTGACTCTTGAGTAACTGAGATTTTGATTATTTTTTAGAACAGTGAGGTGTTTAGTTTGAATTTGTTGACAAATTAATGGCGGAAATGATAGGGCCTCGCTTCTACTGCTGTTGTAATTGCAGAAACCAAGTCTCACTCCACGATGACATCATTTCTAAGGCTTTTCGGGTACGTATCTTATTACTATTTTCTGTTTTTTTTTTCTTTTTTTCTTTTAAATACTTTTTGGGTTTATAAATTTTAAGACTTTTGATGAGAATGTTAGTTATTCTTGAATGTATGAAATTGAAAGGTGGCTTCTTTACTTTGTAGTTTGTTATCAGTGCTAATAAAATGTTACTTGAAAATTCTCCTTCTGGGTCTTGCTTTGTTTAATTTTGCTTTCACATCCAAACCTTCCTCCTCCATCTTTTTCTTTTAAAAAAATAAAATAAAAAATAGGTAAATTGGTAGCAGGATTTGATGATGTAAGATCACAATTATATTGTTTTGTTATAAGGAAGGGTTAAATGGAAATTCTAGGAGATTTTAGGAGGGGAAAAAGTTGAACTCATGTTCTGTGAATGAAGCAAAGTAGGGAATGTTTGTTTTTCAATCATCAATATGACTAGCCCACTTCAAAAGCCAAACCATTATGAACAGCAATGAATTCAGACCAGAGTTCAAAATTGAGAAATAAATAGTTACATTTTATTTTTAATCTTATGGTTGAAATTTGAACCAGTTCCTCATTCTTCTTCTTTAATTACTCAGAAATTTAAATATTTGTTCCACACTTTCGTTCCATACTATTTATCAATATTGATGAATTTATTACGTATCCAAGTTTAACTTAGTGATTACTTTGAATAATAGATGAAATCGCTTAGTTCTAATGAGTAGTGAGTCTCATGGATACTGGATTGTTTGTGTGTTGCTGGTGGTGGTTGTGGCAGTTCAGGTTTTGAATACTGAAGACATATATTTACCATCAATTTGCCATTAAAGGAAATCGCATAGATAGTCATAGTGATTTTGGATATACAATTGAGGTTGGGGCTGTTATGCCGATGGAATTCAGTTAATTATCACAGTGATTTTTTTGTTAATTAAGATTTGTTGGAAAGACAATACCAGTAAGATGGGGTTTTGTTGAAGAAAGCAGGTGTCTTCTTATTTGGACATGTGTTCTTTAACTATGGGATTTTGGTTGATGAAAATTGTCTTTCAGTTTTAACTCATAGTAATAGTTTTCCCTGATCCTTGTCTTATGTTCCTCTCATACTAATTTTTTATAACCAGGGAAGAAATAGCAGAGCTTTTCTGTTCTCCCATGCAATGAATATTGTAGTAGGGCGAAAAGAAGACAGGCATCTCATGACTGGCCTTCACACTGTTGCTGATGTTTATTGTGGTGATTGCCGCGAAGTGTTGGGTTGGAGGTATGAAAGAGCTTATGAAGCATCACAGAAGTACAAGGAAGGAAAATTCATACTTGAAAAGTCAAAAATTGTCAAGAACTGGTAGAGTTCTCTTATGCTCCTTATTCCATTCATTCCAGTCTTGCTGATGGTTCATTTATGCTTTTATGATGTACAGGCGGTTCTCATCTTACCTATATGAAATTTGTCATTGTTTTTCCAATTTCGTTATTCCCTACTGGTGTGACTAGAAGTGAAGTAATAAGATAAACTGTTTATTCCTTGTTCATAAAATTGTGTATTCCTTGAATTTGTAATTTCTGATCCATGAATATGAAGGCTGCAATTTTCTGGATGGAAAGATGATCAAAGGATAGAGCAATGAAATGTAAACTGGTATACACTTAAAAATTGGGTGAAAAAAATTTATTTATTTATGAATTTTTCATTTCCATTTTTAAGGGTATATAAAAACTTGAGTCTTATTTAAATTTTTTATCCTTTTTTTCACATAGGAGCACTTATCATGTAACAATGTTTTTCATCAGGGCTTCATGACATTGTTTGAAGTCACACACACAGGATCCATGTGTAGTTAAATGCCTAAAATGTACCAGTTACTTACCGACTCTACTGACCAATATTACACAATGGGGAAGGATCTCTTTACAAAAAATTTTTGCAATTTTTTGCAAATTACACTATGTACTCCCAGAAGGACATAGTGTAACCTAATGTACTTCCGGGAATCCATAGTGTAGTTTGTAAACAAAAAGTTTGTAAATATAACTCTCCCCTTACACAATTATTTTCTCATGTTATAAATGACACGTATGCTTTATTCTAATCAAGTTAGTCAAATTATACAGAATATATTTATCTCGTGTGCTCTTTTTTTGAGTTTTATCACTAACAAGAAACACATTATTCATGAACCCCATCTCTATCTTCTCTCAATTGCATCCTGGACTCTTCTGCATTCCCTTATCTTTCATTAATTGTCTAGTTTGAGGGAGATAATTCATCTCCCTGCAGAAGCATACAAGTTTGCTAACATAACATAGTTTCCAGAGTTATACGGCTCCAATTCTATGAGCTTTTCTGCTGCAATTTCGCTTAAGGCAACTTCATTATGAATAAAACTACCTCCAAGCAGTGGACTCAGGTCACTGAATCAGCTTCCATTGGTGTGTTCTTGATAAGTTCATATGCTTCGTTGAGCTTGTCTGCACGACTCTATGTTAATCATACATGGATAATGCTTCAATTTGGGCCTCACATATGTAAGTTTCTATCAAATAAAAGCATTCACGATCAGTCTCAACTGATCCAGCATGTGAGACCCCTCCATCAAATCTTTTCTGAATCACCTCTTTGATTTCTTTACCTAATTGGGAGGAAATCGGGAAAGAATGTTAGATTTTCCAATCAAATACAATTGAGAGAGGAAATTTACTTTATTTTTCTCATTTAATTAGTCTTTCACAATTATGAAGGGACTCGTCCAGCACCATGCTGCTAATTCGATCGCTATTCTGAACTTTCATTCAGAACTAATCTAAAAAAATTTATGTTTCAAGAAATTTTAGAGTAAGGAGTAAATGAGTCAAATAATATACAGGACATAGGAGGCTTTGCCTGATTTGTTTAATAAAATAGAATAAATTCAGATCTAAAAAAAGTCCATTTATCAACAAAGGTCGGCACTGTTAGTAGATAGCTGGTTCCCTTAAATATACTGACAGTGGTTCGATTCCTGGCCATGTGTATAAAAAAAGTTTTGTTGGTAGAGGCAAAATCTACTTCAGTGATCTTTACACCTTCAAAAGATTAGGCTCTCGATGTTGGCCGGGGATACCCTGAGCTATATTCACACAAAAAAAAATCCATTTAAAAAAATAAGCAATTAACTTAATTTTACAACACCTTGCTTATAAGCTTGTAGTTGTAGACTAGCCTATAGCAAAATATTTATTTTAAATAAAACAATTTTTTTTATTTAAGTAGTTTTAATTAATAAAATAATATTATTTTGTTTTTCTTTTTAAATTCTTGATAGGTATTGAAAGTTTGATAAATTTAAATAAGCTAATAGATCTAGGCTATAGACATAATTTATTTAGATCAAAGCTTACTTTAGCTCAACACATCTACACCTCTACTTCAAAGGGTTTTGTGGACATCATGCAGCATCTAAACATCATTTTTTCTTCATTTGAAAAATAAATCGTTAAAGCATGAGAAATTATGTGCAACTCCGACAAACCCATTTCACAAAACACCCTCTTTGCACCATAAACACTCATCCCTTAACCCTATAAATTCCATGATGTAGCTTATGCATAAAACATGCTATATGCGAGGGTTTAAAGCCATCAATTAAAAAGGATGCCTGAACTTCTTTATTCTAAATATCCACGAGATCAAGAGACAAATCAATCACAACATTATCAAACTCAATCAACCAAAAGTGGGTTTTAGAATATTCATTATCACATTGAATGAAGCTAGATCCTTGGGAAAGACTTGAAACCTTGAAGCTTGAGGCACCCAAATACTTATCCTTCTCCTTTTCCACTCCTTCACAAGCAGTGACAGAGCTACGTAATTGGAGACCAACGGGGCCACGGGGTCTTGACATTGGCTGATTTTAAAAAATATTACAAGTTTTCTTTAAATATTATGATACAGTTTTGACACTGATTGAGTTTTCAAAAATAATGTAGCATTGACACTAGCTGAATATTCAAAAATGATATAACCTTACACGGTCTACAATTATTTCCTTGCTTCGCCACTGTTCGCAAGCCCTTTCGTCTCTTGCTTTTCTTTTCTTTCATCATTAGTGGGCGTTTGGTTTCATGCTTTTTGAGATTTTCCTAGGTAAATGAAGTTTGGTTTTTAGAAAACCAATGTTTGGTTCAACAGCTTTTGACCAAAACTTATCTATGTGAAATGCATGACTTTTTGATAAAGATAGTAATTTGCACTGTTTAGAAACTCGATTTGAGGGTGATTTTTTGAGAAAACCCGGGTAAAGCACTGTTGACACACTTTTTGTCATATATTTTCCTAGTAAAATTTTGTCAAACCAAACTACTTTTTTTTTAACTTCTCCATCTATTCAACTTTCCCTATAGATACTTAGTAATTACATTTCTCTAGTATTCTTAAAATTTATCTTTAACCAAACGCCCCCTTAGTCTCTATAAGTATAAGTTATGACTCTCCTATAACTCCAAGTATAACCTCTCTCCCGTTAACCCCTGCCGTTATTTATTTTTTTATTTTACTTTTTTTAGTTATTTAAGTTTCTAGATAAACTTATACATCTTACGAAATCCAACATATTATTTAACTATACTCTAGCCTTACTCGTAACATCATTAAATTTTATAGTAATGATGTTTTATCTACTATATCTCTTAATTTTCATTTAGTGTAATTTGAGTATTTCCATATACAATTTAAATATCCATGCAAAACTCGACATAATAGGAAATTATAATAAGTCTAGGTGTCAAAACATAATTTTGTTAGTCCTTTGGGGTCAAACAGTAAATTTCTTAATATACTTTTCATTCATATCTCGGAAAATTTCAATAAAAATACTTTCAAAATCCTAATAAAATTTCTCAATTAATGATGTACTCGATTGTTTTATTACACTAAACATGAAAATATGGTCTTGTAGAAACATTCCCCAAAATGGGTCCGACTCCGAGAACCAGGTTAATTCGGTAACCGATTAGGAGAAAAAATATATGAAAGTATGGGGTGTTACACTAGGGCCATTTGTACTCCTTAGATGAGTGATTCTAGTAATTAATAATAAAACAACATTGCAGCTAGAGCTTTACATTTTAGATTAAAAAAAAAAAATAAGAAAGCAAGAAATTTAAATCACTTGGGATGTTTTTAGTGCATTTTATAAAAAAACAAATTAAGGGCAAACAATGTAAATCATGAAAATATTTTTTTCTCTTATTATGCATTTGTTTTCATCTATGTATTTTTTGAAAAACTAGTAAACATTTATGGAAATATTATCTTGGATCCAAACATTGGAATACAAAGATTCTTGGGAATACTATCTAACATTCTGAGTAATATTCAAAGTCAATCAACTGTGTTGTGTTTGACAAATTTCAAGAAATTAATGCCATTCTAAGGCATGCCATTTCTAGGAATAATTTCAACCTTGGAACAAATGCCCACTCGATGAGTTGAACGGGAGTTAACCGAATGGTTATTATACACTATTTTGATGATGTTACTTGCATTTGAGCTATTTATAATCTATATATATAATTGTAGATATGTATGCAGCAGCATCATGAATTAATCAGCCCTACTTTATGATTTCAAAAGCATCGTTCATGGAGTTTATTCGGGAAACAAGAAATGTAATAATTATTTTTCTTTTGATGGAGGGGATAGAAATCAAGTGATCAAATAATTCAATTCCAAAATAAAAAATTTCTATAAAGAAAGTAGCTAGCTAAACCTTTTTTTTTTCTCGTGCCCTCCCTTAAAATTGGTTCCAATTGTAGCCACGAAGCCACTTGTATGTCAGCTGGTGCCTAATTTTTAAAAATGGTATAGATCTTTTTCAAAAATTATTGTACAACTTTAAAATTGATTGAGTTTTTAAAAATAATACAATCTTAATACTGGTTGAATTTTACTTGATGAGTCTTTTAACACTGATTGAGTTTTTCTTCTACTTCCGTCACTGATTGTAGCCAAACAGATTGCTTTTAGCCAATCCTAATGGTGTACATTGCTTAACGTTATTCCGTTACAAAAAGGAATGATAACCTGCTTGCACATATATGGTCCCGCAGCTATGTGAATAATTACCCTTTCTGTACTATATGTTTAGAGGCTGTACGTCTAGTACGTAGAAATCCAAATGTAAAAAAAAAAAAGGCATCATTGGAGAGAAGAGAAGTCATTGGTGAAAATGATCTTCCAGTAGGGTTTAATATCCAATGCCAACACACATCACTTCTATGTATCTGATTTGGTAATAAGGAATGATAATTTCCTTGGTTGTAGAATATAATAAATTAGGCTTTTCCCCAACCCTAAATTTAAACTAGGAACCTCGTTATTCTTTTTAGCATCTCAAGATAATATCAGGGCAACCAAAATCAACAAACCACATTTCATATTAGGGAAATGATTTACAAATTATATTGAGTATGACCGGTCATACACTCTTGATTGAAATATGACCAGTCATACTTAGTGCAGTTTGTAAATAAAACATTCATATTTACAAACTTAGTGTAGTTTGAAGTATGTGTTAGAATTTCATACTATACGTAAGTCTTTTGTGCCAATTACGACTCAACTCTCTTTCATTACTATACTGAAATTATTGCGTAATAGTGCTTTCACATAATCTCCTTGACTAAGTCATACATGAGATATTACTTGGGAAAAATATTTCTCAAGCAGCTTGAGATAAGTTTATCTCCGGTTACTCTAAAACTATGACATTTTATTTATTTATTTTCTTATATCAATTGATTCACCTTTGAATAGTTATGATTCTCTTTTTCTCTCTCTTCCATTATTACCACTGATCCATCTTTGTACGATTATGATTTAGTAGCCGGAGATAAGATTATCTCAAGCAACTTGAGAAACGATAACCCGATACTAATTATACAATGTATGGTAACTTCTTTAAGAATTTTGGTCCATATCGCTGCGTATAAAAGTACCTTCATATTAATATACTTCACCTGTCTAGGAAGATAAAACTAGTCCCCCAACACAAACAGCTCAATATATATTGCTTTTGTGGAGTAGAATGGGTTTTGCCAGACAACCCTCCAATGCTGTGAAGCTCTAAGTCTTGATTTAATATAATTCTTTAACACATTAGACCCATCAACTATGTAATTGTATATAACAAACGAAGGCACCTCGCGCGCATTAATTATATTTATCAATATTTTATAATTATTATTATAATAAACGGCATGAGGTCCATCTATACATTGAGGAGGATTTGCAATGTGGAGGATATTATTCTTGCACGGTTATCAAGAGGAATGTTTGTGGGACCCTCACTGGTGGAAAAGGAGGAGACTAGAGAGTCAAGCTTGAGCTTCTTTGGCTTTGAATATAAGAAAAGGAAAAGAAGCCCATGTGGGGAAGGAGATTGAGGGAAATAATAATCTACGCAAATGGAGCAAACTGTGGTTAAGTAAGCCTTCAAATAATAGACAATTACAAAAGGGACCAATATGTGAGGTCATGGAAGCATGGAAACCCACTTTGAATAAAAATCTAGCTTGCATCTAACACTAAAAGAGAAGAAGCATTGCAACAAGGTTTTGATAGTCATTGTTTATACACTAACTTAACAAACGTAGGGAAGAAGGAGATCATAAAGAAAATTATTATATACATGTGTGGGATAGAATATTGTTACTACCAAATAATGTTATTACCATATTTTAACCGTTAATTTTCGTCAATCAACTGTTATTATTTTCACAAATCAAAATCATTAATTAATTATTAATTCGCAATAAATGATAACCGTTGATTGACAGAAATTAACAGTTAAGATATAGTAATAATATTGATAGTAACATTATTTGGTAGTAACAATATCTTATCCCTATGTATGTTGCAATTTGATAAGATTGCATTGGATGGTCAATTAAAATTACAAAGGGCTAGCTAAGATTGTTATATATATATGTTGCTTTGTAAAATCTTAAATATGCTTCGATGAATGGAAGAATCTGAAAGACCAAGACGACACGGATGAAGAGCTGACACTTCTGACCTATTGGCCAGCAAAAAGAAAGGAAAAGAAAAAGATATGCAACCACTTGCTGTAAAGGATTTGACAACCATCATTCCAACTCACTTTATGTTCCACGATTAATATTAATAGAAAACCCTATATAATTCCTCAAAATCTCCTTGATAAAATGTGTCGAGTTCGAAGCTGAAATGATATTGGAATAAAATGTCTTGTAATAACACTATATAATTAGTTATGACTTGTAACGTGCACAAGCTAACCTAAAAAAAAATAAAGGAAAATCAAGCATGCATATATATATATACACACACATTATTCTGGATTGAAAACCTGAAATGTAGACCAAAGCCAATATAAAATGAAGACCAAAAATGGAAATGGATATTAAAGAACCAAAGCAGAAGCCATGTACCCTATTTTGTTAGTGGTTCCGATCACTCCAAACAGTCACTCACCAAAACAAGAAAAATAAAAGAACATAAGGCTAAAACAACAACCCCTTGTTCATCTTTCTTTTTCCCTTTTCAGCTTTTTTTTCATCTTTCCTTCTCTCTAATATATCTACCATGATCCTCCACCTAGCATGCCACTCCAATACCCAGTTGAATCACCTTGACTTCTATTCAACCCAAACTCATGAGTACTACTTGGGAGCTGTTGCTGCTTCAAATCCTCCACGGGAAACAAGATCCTTGCTCCAGTATTATCTTGGATCCCATGAAAACCACCATAGCCATTTTCAAACCCTTCTAAACTGAAGTTAAGGCCTGGCTTAAAGTCTTGCAAAGGAAACCCAGCTGAATTATACATGGGCATGAAAGAATTTAAACCCTTTGATGAAGTAATCAGGTGAGAAGATTGTGATGAGGAACTAGGATTTTGAAGGTGGTTATGATGATGAGTGTTGGCCTTCTCTTGATCAGTGTTGTAAGGAACCTCAATAAACTTAGATATGCTATTGTAGTCCTCAATTGGTGGTGGATATGTTATGTTAAGATCTTGGCCTTGATGGATCTTTGGGTTCTGAGAAGCACCAGATTGAGGGAAACATGGTTGTGTTGCCAGATCAGGAAACTTCTTTGTTGATGATATTGGAGATGGTGTTGATGATGTTGTTGTTGTTGTAGAAGATGGTGTTGGTCTCTTGTTCTTTCTTGAGCCTCCACCCACAGGAACATTTCTCATAGTGCCTCCTTCAGTCCAATACCTTCTACAAGTCTTGCAAAAGTACCTTGGCTGGGAGAGGCTATAGTTATTGTAGTAACAGAATTTAGTATTTGTTGAATTGCACCTTGGACAGTTCAAAGCTTGATCTTTCTGAGGCCTTGCCCTTTTCTCCAACATAGGAGTCTTTGAACCTTCCATAGGTTTAACCTAAAATATATCCAAAATTAAAAGTAATAAAAACAAAAAAGACAGGAAAAGTCCATAACTGAGCTCTAAATAATCTTTTAGGGAGAAAGGGAAATAAACAAGACAAGCAAACAAACAATTTGCAATACAAACAAATTTATGTAACTTTTCTTGGATCCTTTACTCCTTTATCAGACGGTGGAAAGAGAAATAAAATAAAATAAAAAGGGGATTCAGTAAGAGAAAACTATAAATGACATGAAAGATCTTAAAAAGACAGAAGAAAAAAATTTGACTGAACTGAACATCATCTCATGGAAGCTGAAAAGTTGTGGAAAAAAAAGTGAAATTTCACTTAGAACTAGCAAAAATCAACAAATATAGTTTCTGAAACCAAAAACTCAATATTCTAAGTTATGTTTGAAAATCACAACCCCAGAAGAAATTTCATGATTATATGGAAGAATGAAACAAAAGGTTTGTCATACCTGTGCCCACTGAGCTGTGTCCATGGATTAAGAGGAAGGGAAAAAGAAAAAAGCAACGGAGTCTTCAAGAAAGGAAAACACCAACTTTAATTAGAGGATGGTCATAAAAGCAAGTGTAGAAAGCTTTTGAGAGTTCGATCATAGTGGTGGTTCCATGTGTTTGCCAACTAGCAAGCTATATTGCACATAGAGGGGTAGCATAGTCTTTTGATGGCACTCAACATATATGATTACAAAATGTGAAAATTTTGAACATGCATGTAACCCTACTAATAATAAAGTATTTTACACAAGTCAACAATATTCTTCCTTAGTGTCTTCGCCTACAAGAACAGTGGAAAGTCGGTTTATTTTTTTAATCAGCTGATGTTGATTATCTTCCATGTTTCCTTCCCATCAAGTACTGTCTGTTTCTTAACATTTTTAAAAGTTTAAATTCATTTTTTATTTTTCTTATTCGTAATACTCAATTTCAATCTAATCCCCACACAAAAATATTCAATTTAGTCCTTAATTATATGAAGTGGTGGAGCTGCTAGAGAAGGATTAGGAGGGGTCTTAGACCCCGTTCAGACTTAAGAAAAAGATAGTATAGCCTAAATTCATCTCCTTCTTTTTTAGAGATATTCCAATCGATTTATCGCTTCGAATAGTTTGATTCGGGACGTGTCCTGGGATTAAGAGCCCGCTTGAATGAGTTTTTTCTTCACAAAATGCTTTTTTAAGAAGAAAAAAAGCACTTTTCAAAAAAAGTATGTTTGGATGCCTGCTTTTAAAAAAAAACGTAAGTCATAAAAAAAAGTCAAAAATCTGCTTTTTCAGAAACTAAAAATTTTAGCTTCTAAAAAAAGCAGAAGTCAAAAGACAAATATATTTTTTTCAAAAATCAAATATTTTTTAAAAAAATCTAAATAACTGTAACTTTTGTAGAAAGTAATTTTAAAATAAGGAAGTCATAAAAAAGACTTTTTGATAAGTCAATATAAACTGACTCTAAGACTTTAAACCTTTCCCAAAAACGTTACTAACAGAAGTTGCTGTCATTCGCAGCTTGATGATATATCAAATTGGGTCTATTATATAGACCAAGATTTACAATTGGTTACATCAGGAAATCAGCTAAACTTAAGGAACAGAAAGCATAAATCAAGGAAATCAGCTAAACTTAAGGAACAGAAAGCATAAATCAAGCTAATCTATTTACATCAGGAAATCAGCTAAAACTAAGGAACAGAAAGCATAAATCAAGCTAATCTATTTTAATATACAAGGTAACAAACCGTGATAGTTACAATCAGGATCCTAACAAATTAATGCTACTCTAATACTCCCCCTCAAGGTGGAGCATGGAGGGAGGAGATGCCCAACTTGGAAGTCAAAAAATCGAATTGTTTGGATCCAAGTGCTTTGGTCATAATATCTGCGGGTTGAGAACTAGTGGGGATATGTTGAGTAGAAATAGTCTTGCTGAGAAGATAGTCCCGAACAAAATGGCAATCTAACTCGATATGCTTGGTACGCTCATGGAACACTGGATTAGAAGCAATATGAATAGCAGACTGACTGTCACAAAACAGTTGCATAGGGGCTGCATGAGGAATATCAAGAGAGCTGAGAAAAGACTTTAACCAAATAAGCTCAGAAGTCGCAGCTGCCATGGCACGGTATTCAGCTTCAGCAGAGGAGCGGGATATTGTGTTTTGCTTCTTGGTTTTCCAAGAAATAGGAGAATGTCCAAGAGTAACAAAATAACCAGTGACTGATTTTCGAGTCAAGGGACAACTAGCCCAATCCGAATCACAATAGGCACGAAGAAGAAGATCACTGTCAGATCGAAGAAGGAGTCCTTGGCCAGGATTGGACTTAATGTACCGAAGAACACGAATAGCCGCATCGTAATGTATCTGCATAGGATGCTGCAAAAACTGAGAAAGTGTGTGAACTGCATAACTAAGTTCTGGTCGTGTAATCGTGAGATATACAAGACGGCCAACAATACGTCTATAACGTTTAGGATCATCAAACGGAGGTCCTTCAGCAAGAGCAAGCTTGTGATTGGGATCCATAGGATAAGCAACCGGTTTACAACTTTGAAGTCCACATTCCTTAAGAATATCCAAAGCAAATTTGCGTTGAGTAAGAAACAAACCGGTCTTGCTTCGAGCAAATTCAATGCCAAGAAAATACTTGAGGGGACCAAGATCTTTGATTTTAAACCAGGTTTGTAAATGAGCTTTGACACGGTCACAGAGAGAAGGATCACTACCTGCCAACAAAATATCATCTACATAGACAAGTATAGCAACATAATGGGAACCAGTCGAGTAAGTGAACAACGTATAATCAGCACGAGACTGAACAAAGCCGAAACTGAGGAGAGAACTACGAAGCTTAGCAAACCAATTTCGTGGGGATTGCTTGAGACCATAAAGTGAACGTTGAAGCTTACAGGCGTGACCAGACTTGGTTTGGGAGAAACCGGGAGGAAAACGCATAAAGACTTCTTCATCCAAATCGCCATGGAGAAAGGCATTTTGAACATCCAGCTGAAAAATGCTCCATTTTCGAGCTACAGCTACAGATAAAAATGTACGCACACTTGTCATTTTAGCCACCGGTGCAAAAGTCTCAGTGTAATCTTCTCCTTCGATCTGATTGTTCCCAGCAATAACCAGACGCGCTTTATAGCGTTCAATGGTTCCATCAGAATTGTACTTGATGCGGTACACCCACTTACATGGAATAGCTTTCTTACCAGAAGGGAGAGGTTGAATTTGCCAAGTATGATTGGCTTCCAATGCATCAATTTCGGCTTGCATGGCTTTCTGCCAATGAGGATATTGCATAGCCTCTTTAAATGATTTGGGTTCCAGGTTACTATCCACGGCGGCAAGAAAAATCTGATGGTGCGAAGAAAATAATGCATTAGAAACATAATGATCAATGGAATATTGAATACCTGAGTCGATTGGAGAAGTGGAGAGACGAGGAAAGGGTGTAGTCATTGTGTTGCATACATAATCCTTTAAATGAGATGGGGGACGTCTGGCACGCTGTTCACGAATATCTGCCACAGATGCAGTGTTGGGTTCTGTCAACGGAACCGGTGAACCAGGGACATCCGTGGATGAAGTAATAGAACCCGGAACTGGGGAGGATGAACTCCCCCTGTCATCAAGCTCCGCTGTGGGAGTATCAATAGCAGTAACAGGTGCCACATCATAATCGGTGAAGACAGCTTGTGGTGACGGTACATGGACAGAAGGTGCAGATGAAGTTGCAGCCAATGGAAGAATAGTTTCATGAAATAAAACATCACGAGAAACAAATATTTCATGAGTGGAGATATCCATGACCTTCCATCCTTTTTTGTTGAAAGGGTAGCCAACAAACACACACTTACGGGAGCGAGGAGCGAACTTGTCATGTGGTTTGGGTAAAACAGTAGTGTAACATAAACTCCCAAAGACCCGTAAGTGATCATACTTTGGTGGAGTGCCATGCAAAACTTCATAGGGACACTGACCACCAAGGAGTGGAGTCGGTGTCCTGTTGATGAGGTGAGCAGCGGTCAAGATGCATTCTCCCCAAAGAGATATAGGTAAGTGACCATCAAAACGCAAAGCACGAGCCACGTTGAGGATGTGACGATGACGACGTTCAACGCGTCCATTTTGCTGTGGGGTGTAAGTGCATGATAATTGATGATGAATACCGTAGGATGAGAGAGCCTCTTGGACTACAGATGACAAAAATTCAGTCCCATTATCACTCTGAATTCGCTTAACAGATGCATCATATTGGGTGCGAACCAAGTGGAGAAACCGAAGTAAACATGTGGAAGTTTCAGTTTTATTGCGCATCAAAAAAATCCAAACATGTCTACTAAAATCATCGACTACAGTTAAAAAATAGCGGGCACCAGTTGTAGATGCCATATGATATGGCCCCCATATATCACAGTGAAGTAAATCAAAAGGATGTAAACAACGTTTATTATTAATAGGAAAAGGACTTCGTGGTTGTTTGGCTTTACAACAAACGTCACAAGGAGCCAAATTGTTTGCATTGGAAATAAAAGGTAACAAAGATAAATAACGGGAAGATGGATGTCCTAGACGACGATGCCATAGTGCTGCAGAATCTGACGTACTGGCAACATGAGCAGAAGCTGATGATGCACACAATATATACACCCCTTCTCGTTCAACACCCGTTCCAATCGTCCTCTTCTGCTTTAGGTCCTGTATCAAACAAACAGAATTAACAAACAATGCCAAGCAAGACTGGCGCAGAAGCTGAGATACAGAAATCAAATTACAAGCCAACGAAGGGACATAAAGAACATTGGAGAGATGAAGAGAAGAGCCCAAAGTAATGCTGCCACATTGCGTAGCAATATCATGAACTCCATTCGGCAGTCCCACAGAACAAGGAGAAATAGAATGCACATTGGATAGATAGGAGAGTGTGCCCGTCATGTGTTGGGATGCACCACTGTCGATGATCCAAGATGGGTGTAAAATCTTACCCGTAAGTTTATCAACTGGAGGGGCAGAAGAGACAGCCAAGGACATGAGATGTTGTAGAACTTCTGGTGTAAAATCTGCCATGGAGATGGATGCTGATGACGGCTCAGAAGGAACCGAAGGCAGAGAAGTATGAGCAGCCCAATTTTCATAATTGGATTGTCCACGGAGGATGACCGTGGTGAGAACGGCACCAGGATTGTCGGATGGGTGCAGGTAAAAGGGTGACTTAGAATCAGAAACCTTGAAGGTTTTAGGTGCGGAAGTCATGATGAAAAAAAAAAAAAAAAAAAAAATAATGAAGGCTTGTTGATCGTCAAGCTCTTGATACCATAACAGAAGTTGCTGTCATTCGCAGCTTGATGATATATCAAATTGGGTCTATTATATAGACCAAGATTTACAATTGGTTACATCAGGAAATCAGCTAAACTTAAGGAACAGAAAGCATAAATCAAGGAAATCAGCTAAACTTAAGGAACAGAAAGCATAAATCAAGCTAATCTATTTACATCAGGAAATCAGCTAAAACTAAGGAACAGAAAGCATAAATCAAGCTAATCTATTTTAATATACAAGGTAACAAACCGTGATAGTTACAATCAGG